AAATCCTGGACATGGTGGCTTCTTTTTTCACTTTCCCTCTTTATCTCTTGGTCTCCCTCTGGTCAAATTGGAAAATAGTAATAAATAAAGTTAAAATAAAAATAGTTCTTTAAAAAAATTACAAACTTCACAGAATGTAACTATCGGGACCTTTTGAGCCACTGTTTCTCTGTCCACTTAGGCCCGCTTCTACCTCTCGAGAGTATACTTTTGTTTTTACTTAATAAACTACCTTTTCCTCTTTCAAAGAAAAAAGAAATACAATAAAATACAGGGGAAAAAAATAAGTTATCCAAACAGCACTTTGATTTTAAAGTAAAATAGAGGAGAGAAAAGAAACAGAAGGAGGTCTCTACTTTTTCTCTTAGTAAACCAAGGAGAGATATCGAAATAGGTCTGTTAGTATCTTCTGAAAATAAAGATAATTTCCTCTCAAAATGAGCACAGGTGGAAATCAGGGAATGGTAATATCACTCCTCTCTATGTAGCAAAATTGACCTAAAGAGATTGCCTTGACTGACAGGCAGAAAATTTAAGACATGGGATCTTCCTGCCAACTCCCTGGGCTGCTATTGCCTGATGCAAACTGAGCTTTTAAATGCCATTCCAGACTGCACTGATTCTGTACTATACCATTTTTTTTAGAGAGGTTTTTGCTATAAGGCGTGTGTGCTCACCAGAGAGACAGACAGAAAGCGAGAAATACCCCCCCCCCACAGTGGGGATGGCCACACCCCAAACCCTTCTCCAATCTCTTCTTGGGATCTTGGGCACGCACACACCTGCACCTGGTGTGAGTTTAAGCCACTGAGTCTGGGACTTGAACCGCGAAGATCAATTATTTAAACATGGTGCTCAAGGTGGGCAAACTGATTGGACCTCTCACTTTAGGGACTGTTTTCAAAATGAACAAAATTTGAAAATATCTACTCTGGAGCACTGGAAAATAAAAGGGATGTGATTGGGTGGTTGGATGTGTAGGCCAACTGCAAGGCAAGAGGGAAGAGGAAAAAAGGGATTGAACCAGACAAAGGAACTCAGGGAGAAACAGAGTGCCTGATCACAAGCTGACTGCCAATTTTTTACGTAGGGATTCATTTAGAAGAGGTGGTGAGAACAGAGCATAAAGGAATGAAATACGAGGAGAAAGGTGTTCCATGGGTGGTTCACAGTAAATAGAGCAGAATTTGAAACAACAACAACAACAACAACAACAAAACAGAAGAAACTGAACAGCGTAGAATGGGGTCAGGATCTTCAAATAGTTCATGAAAAAATGTGTATTATGAAAAAATTGTATGAATTTCAATTTTTTCTTATTCCAAAATAAATTCATACCTTAATTGTTCCACAGACTTTTTGACATCTCTTTGTATTCTATACTTGTAGAGAAGAATAGAATGGAATAAAAGAGAGTAGAATGAGAAGAGTATGATGAGATGGGATAGGATGGAGTAGGATGGGATGGGAATGGGATAAAATATCTTCAATCCTTTTGGCTCTATCAAAAATAAAGCCTATGACTATGGCTAAATTATTTGACCTATTTAGAGATTTCAGTTTTCTGATCAGCAGAGAGAGAGGTGTTACAATATTATTAAACTTCCAAAATACCTTCTAGCGCTTACATTCTGATATAATTTTCCTCATGGTGACCTCCCCACAGCCAAATTTAAAATCATCTCAGTCCTTTGCTGGAGGTCGTCTAATGGCTTCCCTATTTCAATAACTTACAAAATCTCTGTATTAATAAATACAGGAGGAAATTAGGTTATCAAAACAGCACTGTTATTTTCAAGTAAAACACAGGAAAAAAAAAACAGAAAAGTTTCCATTTTTCTCTCTGAGTAAATCCTGGAGAGATAGCAAAGTTGGTCTGTTAGTAATTCCCAGACCCTCAAACTCATCTAAACTCATTTATCCCTTGTTTTATTCCCTCCAGCCAGGCAGGTCTCTCTTTTGCCAATTACTCTTTGGGTCTTTGTAGGAGCTATTTCATCTAATTGAAATGTGCTTCCATGAGATTTTTTACATTGCATTTTCTTTTGTTTTCAAGTTTCTTTCTTTCTTTCTTGATAGAGAGAGAGAGAAGAGAGAGAAAAAGAAAGAGGGTCGCATTCCATAACCCTTCCCTAAGCCTTCCCAACCAGCCAGCATCATGGGCATACACATGCATATCCAGCATGTGCAAGTCGACTCATGAACAGAACTCCAATTTTCCATGCGGCTGCACCACTGGACCTGGTATTTTCTCATGATTCAGATCTCTCAGATTAAATAGAATTCCTTACAAATGTCATATAAATCAAACCTTTCTCAAAGAGCATCCTAATATCTCCAGCAACAGCCTAAACACTAATCGTTCTCTATTTCACAATCCTGGTTTATTTTTTAGGTAAATGATCATCATCTCAGATGATTTCATTCATTTTTTCCACTCATTGTCTCCTCCCTCTCCCAACACCACTAGAATATACATTCCAAAAAAAGCAGGTAGTAGTCTTGCTCAGCTCTATGTTCAGTATCTAGAAGGATGTTTTGGTATTAAGTATCACTCAATAAGTATTTGTTGATGAATGAAAGAATCATACATGGTGTTGCTCGGTTAGAATGATTTTGTAGATTTTTTTTTCTTTTTAAAAAATTTTCATTGCTAGAGGGCAAAAGAACTTGCCAGAGAGACAAACAGAGACAGAGAGAGGGAAGGAGGGAGACAAGAAGAGGCAAGCACTCTCCCCAATGGGGTGTGGTCACATTGCAATCCCTTCCCTCCAATTCTCCATAGGATCAGGATGTGGGGCATGCCCATACATGCACCCAGTACATTTTTTAAGCCACTAGGGTTTGGATTAGAAACCATGTGGGATTCAGCTTTTTATACACAGTGATTAACCTGCTATACTATGGAGCTGTCCTGATTTTGGAACCTTTAATAATCTAGACACTATTAGTTTACTCCAATTACATCTCCCGTATTGGTTTTAATTTTACTTTCTACATTTGTCTAAAGCCATGTAATAGATTCGATGTTTAAACATGAGTTTTTATGTGAGTACTTTGCTATTTGCCATAATAAATATTTCTATGTGACCATATAAGCAATATAATAAAGTACACTAAGGATAATAATTAGACTAATATATGAAGGGGGAAAAATGGCCTGTGTAGGTAGAATTTCCTATACAGGACTTCTTGTTGTATCATCTTAAGAGACTTTAAAGTGTGTGATCAAGGTCTGTATATTATCCCCAACTTTATTAAAAGATGTTTCCTAATTGGTTGTAACACTTTAAAATGAATAGTTTCAAAATAAATTGTTAATTCAACTGTATAAGATGAACATGATTTTCTTCACTTGCATTTTTGTAATTGAGCAAGTTCCTAAAAATAAATTGTTTATTAAAGAAAAAAATAATTAGAATAATAACTACAGAGTTTGAAGCATTGATGTTGTGTCAAACATTGTGTTAATACTTTAATGTTTCATTCTTCTAACACTTCTGAAAATCAGGCATTTTGATCAACAGTTCACAAATGAGGGACATTCATGTAACTCACCCACGGTCACGTAAATTGCCAAGGGTCAAACCAGGTTATAAACACAAGTGTCTGGCTCTACAGCAATTTTGGTTTGTCAAAAGGCCTCAAAGCAAACAGATATCAATATTTCCCACAGGTCAGTGTGGTTAGATTAGGCATTACGACCAGTACACATAAATATCAGTGATCTTTGCTACAAACCATTGAGTGCCTACTCTGAGCTAAGCGATTACTTACATCTCAGTTTCAATCATCAGTTCACACATTCAAGTTAGGAACTGAGATCATATAAACATGCTAAAATAGAGGACAATGCTGACTAGTGACTTACTTACGGCAAGTACTGAAATGCTACTGTATAGTGTCAAGTCCAGACCTCACTTCTACGTCCATGATATCCATGTCTTTTGTCCAAAATCAATGTTATGCTTTGTGTATTCCATTGTTGAAGAGAAGTACCTATAAGTTCAGTCCTTTTCCTTTTTTTTTTTGAGAGGTTTTTGCTATAAGAGTGCGTGCACTCGCCAGAAAGAGAGAGACAGAGATAGACAGCTAGAAATCACCACCCCCCAAGGGGGATGGCCACGCCACAGTCCCTTCTCCTCCATTTTCCTCTCGGGATCTTGGGCACGCATGCACACACGCCCGGCATGAGCTTAAGCCACTGGGTCCAGGACTCAAACTGCGATCAACTACATGGGAGCCCAGCGACATAGCCATTACGCCATCTGCGGGTCCCCAGTCTTTTTCCTTTTTTCCCATTGTAAAGGCTACCAGTTAAAATATTTAATACTTCCAAATTCTAAGAAACCTTTTTTAACTCCAAGAGTAACACAAACCATTGACTACATGTTAAATTGTCTTTTCAAGAATACTTGATCACAGATTCACCTTGGATTTACGTGAGCTAGAAAGAGTTAATGTGGTCAACTGCTTCCGCTCTCTGAATATTACATGATTTCAAGGGAATGATGCTTCAAACTGTGATTATCAATATTTATATTTTGATCACGGTGTATTAAAATTAGTAAACAGTTTAGCAGTTTTAAATAATGCATGTAAAACTGGAAGCTACATCGATTAAAAATTAACCTCTACCGTTAAGCCGAAAAGAGAATGGATTAAGCAGAATCATAATTTCAAGCAATTTTGCATTTCTTTCCTTTTTTCATTCTTTGCTTTATCTTTATTTAAATTTACTTCTTGAGAGAGAAATATATATACAGAGAGAAAGAGACAGAAACAGGGACCCCTCACAGAGTCTTGCCTTATCAAGAAACCAGTCCCTCCCATCCCCTATCCTCAATGCCTTCTACCCAGCCAGGATCATGGCAGTGGGCTGGCCAGCATGTTCAGATACACTTTGGATGTGAAAGCTCAGCCTTCCCATATGGTCCACAATTGTGCAGTGGTACCTTATCCCTTGCAATATCTACGGTATTGTATTTGGTTTATTTTACCTTCATCTCTTCAACTGCGGTCTGTAATTCATCTGGTGTTTTGTATTCAAAATCTCTCTCTAGATATTCTTCTTCAGCTTGTGTCATCCACTCATGCATCTCTGACAGATCTTTTTGAAGGCTTATGGTTTTATCCAAACCTCCCTTTAAGGCTTCCTTTCTGTCATAGACCTTTCATAAAACAAACAAGCAAAGAATGACAGAACGTTAGCATTCCATTATTGGGGAACAGTCTGTAAATAGCAGGAATCTTACATAGTAAAGATAAAGCAAGAAGTAAAGGGCTTACATGCATAACAACAACAAAAAAATTGAATATACTTATTTACATATAAGTGTGAAAATCATTTATTGCCATTTACTTTGCATACATAAAAATGAACAAGTTGCCCTAGAACAATAATTTAGTTCTAATGTGTAACAACATTTTTCTGTGAATAGAGAAAAACCCAACTTTTATGATACGTTTGAATAGGAAAAGTAATTTGATTGGCATTCACAGAGGTAGTAATTCTTTGTGCTCTTTGATACAGTTTTATAGTTTCAAATATCCTAGGAACTTAATAATCACTGATCTATAGAAAACTCTCATAAATCAAAAAGACAAGTGAAATATACATTAAAAGATAACTAGCAGGAAGAAGATAATATATGGAGACACGTACAAATGTTCCAATATCACTTATAGTTAATGATTGCAAATTAAAATGAATTAATGCTTTCTCCCACATAAGAGAGGGAGAAAAAAAAGAAGCAGAGATGCCTAGTTTGGGCAGGGATGTGAGGAAATAAAATTTTCATATGCGTTGAGGGTATATGACATAGTAAAACCTTTTAGATAGTAAGTTGGTAAGATGTATTTTAAAATGCTTATGCTCATGAGTCTCACTCTACGTTTGCACTTTGAAAGTGAATAATACCAACCAAAGCATACAAAGTTACACCTACAGTGCTAAATTCATCTTTTAAGACAGCAACAAATTAGAAACAAACCCAAATATGCTTTCATGGAGGATTGTATAAATTGATATATACATACCATAGGATGCCATGTATTATCAATACATCTGGACTGAAATGAAAAGTTGCTCAATATATAATTTTCCATTTAAAGAGCAAGTCATGAAACACTGTATGTGGTTACAGGTTATATCTGCCTGTTAAAGCCTCATACATTTCTGAAATATTAAGGCATTTTACAATGCAATTTTTTATTCAGTAACCAGAAAAATAGCAAAATTTAAAACATTTCAAAGAAAATCATGCATGCTAATATATGTATTAGCACAATGATCATAAATAGTGCTTTACTTTAAAAAATTCTTTAGAGGTTTTTATCTTCGGATGTGTGTACTTGCCAGAGAAAGAAAGACAGAGGCAGGGAGAGGGGAAGTGAGAAACCACCTCCCAGGGAGAATGGCCACACTGCAATCCCTTCTCCATTCTCCTCCTGAGATCTTGGGCACACACGCACACAGGTCTGGTGCGATTTTCAAGTCACCAGGTCTAGGACTTGAACAGCTGTCTGCCATGTGGAATTCCGGTGACATAATTGTTATACCATTTGCTGCTCTGAGGGACCAGCAGTTAGCGTAATGGCTAGGTCTCTGGACTCCCATGTAGTCGACCGCGGTTCGAGTCCCGGACCCAGTGGCTTAAACTCATGCTGGGCGTGTGTGCATGTGTGCCCAAGATCCTGAGAGGAGAATGGAGGAGAAGGGATTGTGGTGTGGCCATCCCCCTTGGGGGCTGATTTCTTGCTTTCTGTCTCTCTGGCGAGCACACACATGCCCTATAGCAAAAACCTCTTAAAAAAAAAAAGTAACTCTATTGAAACAATGTTGTTATTCTCTCACTGATTAAACAGAGACCAATATTTTAAGCAACAGAGTTGTACTGACAAAGTCTGAATATATACTGCATGGTTTTAGTAAAATTTTCATGGTATTTGATGCATAGTTAAAATATGTAACATCACCATCACAATGATTTTACCAATAATTTATAATTATACTGAACCTACTGTATAATAGTTAACACCATTTTAAGTTCATTACTTCTCCATGTGAATATGGTACCTGATCCACTGAAATGTAAATGGATGCTTCACTCTGATACATCTAGAACAATGTATCTGACAATTTTAATAGTAAAGGTATAAATATTACTTTGCATAGTCAATGAGTCTATAATAAGGCTAAATAAGCATACTGTTAAATTTCTGTTCAGATACTCTGCTCCGTTATAATCTCTTGAGGCAGTTTATGAAGTTATCAAAATGTTAGAAGGACTGGGACCAGCAGTTAGTGTAATGGCTATGTCGCTGAACTCCCATGTAGCTGACCACAGTTCGAGTACTGGACCTAGTGGCTTAAACTCACTCTGGGCACATGTGCATGCGTGCCCAAGATCCTGAGAGGAGAATGGAGGAGAAGAGATTGCGGCATGGCCACCCCCCTCCCGGGGTGTGATTTCTCGCTTTCTGTCTCTCTATCTCTCTCTGCCTTTCTGGCGAGTGCACGTACCCTATAGCAAAAACCTCTAAAAAAAAAGAAAAAAAGTGTTAGAAGGACTAACAGGACATATTCAAACCTTGCCATATATATATGCTATAAAGCTAAAGCAGAGGAAAGGGACTGGGTATGATTTGTTTGTAAGGAAAGAAAGCTAGGCGTTCATTCTCAGGTAGAGGAATAAACGTATTAAAAAGAACACCGGCTTCAGAATCAAGATACCTGGACTCCATTTCTGGCAAGCTAAGTGAGCCCACGACATACTTAGTTTCTCTTTTTCTCAACTTTATAACTAATTTAACAGTTGGACCAGATGATTCTCAAGGTTTTCTGTTTGTTAATCAGATTCAAAATTCTACAGCTCAGGGCCAGTAGAAGTCATATTTGGTTACATCGCTGGACTCCCACAGTCAAATGCATTTCAATTCCTGGACCCAGCAGCTTAAAACTCATGCGGGGCAGGGAATCAGCAGTTAGCGTAATGGCTATGTCACTGGATTCCCACATAGTCGACCGCGGTTCGCATCCCAGACCCGGTGGCTTAGCACTCATGCCAGACGTGTGTGCATGCATGCCCAAGATCCCGAGAGAAGAATGGAGTAGAAGAGATTGTGGCATGGCCATCTCCCCTGGGAGGTGATTTCTCGCTTTCTGTCTCTCTGTCTGGCGAGCGCACGCACCCTATAGCAAAAACCTCTGAAAACAAAAACAAGCAAACAAACAAACAAAAAACCTCATGCGGGGCATGTATGCATGCATGCCCAAAAATCCCAAGAGGAGAATGGAGGAGAGGGGATTGCAGTGTGGCCATCCCCCCTGGGGAGTGATTTCTTGCTTTCTGTCTCTGTCTCTCTGGCAAGTGCATGTGCCCTATAGCAAAAATCTCTCTCTAAAAAAAACTCTACAGCTCTATGACTGGTTTATGTGTGTGTGTGTAGGGGGAAGGGGGGAGTATTTGTTTATTGGGAAGGTGCTTCAGATGTTTGAAGGATTTAAGCAAAAATGTTTTGGTCAGAATGAATATTGTTCTTTACCCTTACCATGTCAGTGATTTCAATATGCTTGCTGTAAACTGCCCAATGTATCCCTCAGGTTCAGCTGATGACACTGCCGTATAATTGTAGATACAGTATAGTTCTTTATATGCTCCTTTTTTTTTTTTTTGGAAAGGTTTTTGCTATAGGGCGTATGCACTCACCAGAAAGAGAGAGAGAAAGAGGGAGAGGAAGTGATCACCCCTCAGGGGGGATGGTCACGCCACAATCCCTTCTCCTCCATTCTCCTCTCGGGACCTTGGGCACGCACACACACACATTCCTGGCATGAGTTTAAGACACCGAGTCCGGGACGCGAACCACGGTCGGCTACATGGGAGTTCAGCGACATAGCCATTATGCTAACTGCTGGTCCCTTCATGTGTTCCTTTGCAAACGTTACAAATTTAACTTTTAGTACTATCTAGAAGCTGTACATTTAACTTGCAGTACTAACCCCATCCCCACTTTCTTTAATCTCTGATCTCTGAGCAAAAGCTATCTTTGGTCTTGTCCAAGGGCAGTGACTTCTGTTCAGAATTGATGCTCTGAAGTCAGTCCTCCCTTATATCTTCCTCTTTGTTTTTGTTTCTTTTACATCATTCTATAAATATGTTCATGGATTCTCACTCCCATGGTTGGAAAAAGTTAAACATCCATCTACCACAACTCAATAGTTAATATTTAGCAGCAGTCTAATCTTGGATTTTTGGTCTCAAAAATTCCAACTACAACCTGTCTTCTGTCCTGCCCACTCCACTAAAATCTTGCTTACTAAGATTATGAAGGATTTTGTAATTCTAGTAGTAATTATACACTTCCCAAATAATCTCTTAATTTACCTCTCTATAATTCAGAGTGTATGTCTTGTGTTTGTTTGTTTGTTTGTTGTAGGGCACGTGCATTCACCAGAGAGAGACAGAGATATGAAGAGAGGGAATGTAAGAAATCATCCTTCTGGGGGATGGCCACATCAAAATCCCTTCTCCTTCATTTTCCCCCTGGAATTTAGTCCATGCACATACATGTGCCTGGCATGATTTTCAAGCCGCCAGGTCTAGGACTCAAACCACAGCTGGCCACATGGAAGTCCACTGCTGTAACTACTATACCACCAGCTGGCCCCATATGTATAGTCAGTCTTTGAGTGTTAAAATTATATCTGGCTTCTTGAAAGCCTTCACTTTCTTGACATTGCAGTTTCCTGACCACTTTTTGCGTTAATTGTTGTTTTTTTTTTTTTTTCTGATTCCTTTGCTGGCTTCCTTTTACTTGTTGACATGTAAATATTAATGTTTTCCCGAGTTCTGACACTAGTTCTTTTCTCCTAACATCACGCTATTTATTTATTTATTTATTTTTGGAGAGGTTTTCGCTATAGGGCGTGTATGCTCGCCAGACAGACAGAGAGACAGAAAGCGAGAAATCATCCCCCCCAGGGGGAATGATCATGCCGCAATCCCTTCTCCTCCATTCTCCTCTTGGGCTCTTGGGCACGCACGCACACGCGCCCAGCGTGAGTTTTAAGTCACTGGGTCCGGGACGTGAACCGCGGCTGACTACGTGGGAGTCCAGCAACATTACGCTAACTGCTGGTTCCCACGCTATTTATTTTAAAAGTGTT